TATACATAAATTCTGCATGTACAATAATAATAATAATTGGCATGTTTAGCAATGCATCACATCTTCAGACCTTGAATGTAGATGAGAAAAAATCAAGAACAAACTGACCATGACCTCCTAATCATGAACAAAATCAAATATTATTTTCTAATGGCTACTATAATTAGTTCAAGATAAAGCCCTGATTGAACCTCAGTTTGTTTTTACCTCTAGGGTGGGTTGGACTCCAGAAAAAGACCAGGGTCAGTCAGAGTTTAGCTGTTCAAAGCAGACAAAAAAGTAAAGACTTAAATCAATGTTGCTGCCACATTTCATCATTTACGCTCAAATATACTATAAGTATTYCAAACATAATGTATCATTAAGTGCTACTTCAGTGTTACACATTAAAGTTAAAGGTGTTAACTTTATTAAATGGGATCAAGTGTGTATTTCATCTAAATGATAAATGTTTTGCTTACCTTAGACTGTCAACCTTTAATCAAGTGAAATGCTGAGCGCCGTACCTGACWGCAGCCTCACCTCCTTTAATAAAGCTGGTTGATCCACCAAATATGGGATAAATATTTGGAGAAAGAATGCACATTAAAAAAGCGTTGTCCTAATTGGGCAGGATGTGCTGCTGCTATTTGTTGCTGTAACCTTGTGAYAAACAAGGCAAGAACAATACATGGTTCAGAGGAAGGGGAGGGCATGAGGTGGAGTTCAGGGACAGTCTGGATATCAGGTGACTCCTAATTTATTTATATTAATCATAACTTGTCAGTTTTTATCATTTCTTTAGAGTTGGGGTTTCTAATGGTCTCTAAATGTTTGCCTCCTTCATTCAGTTTGATTAAAGATTCATTTTTCATCATTACTGAAAAGTAACCTCAGTATGGTCCATTGCTTCGTACTAAGAATCAAAGAATTTTTTTAAAGTCAGATTTTACATAAGAGCAAAATATTTTTGAAATAAATCTTTTGTTAGAAATGTTTCTCCTTTTAATATCAGTTAATTGAGTGACTGTTTTATTTTCAAACAGACATCAGATCAGTTACGATAGTAAATTTAGTTTGTTCTTGTATCGTGATGGTTGAAGAAGAGATCTGAACGTGTTAAGATTCTTGATCAAATGATCAAGTTTAGGTAAAGTCAGTCCTGTTCAGAGAGCAGAGGTGTTTCTAGTCTCTGCTGAGATGGTGATAAGTTGGCAGCTGTCGCTGAGTGAAAACTAAGGTCAGAGACTTTAAATTATCACTCACCACTGCTCTGCCCACACCCTTTGTCTCATAGGGTCCACACGGCATTGTTCCCTCTCCTTTGGCCTTGAGGACAAAGATAACCCTGTGAAATTCTTGTCTGGATTCTTCCTCCCGATTGTTAAGGACAGCCTTTGAGGATAAAGTTGAACTACAGTTTCTGATGTCATGATGGACAGGAGGAAGCAGGTGTGCTGCACCCAAAATATTGTCTCCATTCAACCTTGTCTGTATTTAGGCCATTTTTTAGTTTTAGGTTTGAAAGTGCATTTTTAAATGTAGCTGAAAAATACTGTATTAATACAGTAGTACAACTGTACTAAAAATAAATAGTTAAAAAAACATTAAGGTACTGAAAAATAAAATAACAGAAAACAATCAAAAGAATGATATCCTTTAGTTTGCCTTTATTGCTGTGGAGGTCAGTTACGTGTAGTATTTTAATACAGTAATCCTGTATTTTTGATAAACAGCAGTATTTTATTCTTACTGTTGAGAAGTTTAAATAATAAAATAAATATCTTTGTGGGGTAAGGGAGTTGTAAGTGTGAGACTGGAGATGGTAGAGGAGGTATTTATTAGTGAAAGGATTCAGGCTATTTATTATTGCCTGTCACTGAAAGTCTAAATAAGTTTTACCTATATGTGTATGGTAAATGGTAAATGGACTGTACTTATAGCACGTTCAAACCAACCAGGACACTCAAWRCACTTCACACTACAATCTGTGTGCTCATTTACCCATTCACACAACACTCTATTAGATCTCACTACAAAGTTAAATCAATCTATAGAGACTAATCAAAGCTTAAATCACACTCATACATTGATGGGACACATCAGAGGCAGTAGGGGTTCAGTGTCTTGCCCAGGGACCCTTTGACATGTGACAGAATAATGTAGAATTGAACAGCAGACTCTCACATTAGAGGAACAACTCCCCCTAACCACTCAATGTGTTTTTAAAACTGTGTTTTATGTTTTTAGGATGTTTTCTTGTATAGACAGTAACTTGTCAGGACCAGTAGCCCTTATGAGGACCCAAACTGAGTCCTAATATGGTGGAGATTAGACATTAGATTTGGGGCTAWGGTGTGAATTACATTTAGATTAGTTAGGTATGTACTGATAATGGTTAAGTTTAGAGAAGGTTCAGGGTTAGGCTGAATGGAAGTCAATACAAAGTTCCAATAAGTATAGAAATACAAACATGTGTTTGTCAGTAGGTGTACATTTCTAAATTATTCATATGTAGGTATTTATAAAAAGTTTATAWATATCATATATAATGTTATTGGAGAGTAGACTGTATATCGTGTCGGTTATTGTCTAGGAACATAAGCGTAGGATAAGTAATTATATTTCCGTGATTCTTTTTGGACAGAAAAATGTGTAGTTAAAATGTATGTTTATGTAGTTTGACTTATTTACTAATTATGTGTATACTTCTTGCACTAGATGTCATCATAATGATGCTTCCTGAGTTGTATCAACTGAATTACTGGTATTGTTTTTATTTTTCTCTTTTCTTAATGTTCAAAAAATCTCTCTCTATGATTCTCCTGACATCTATTGTCTCTTTGTCAAGAGTGTAAAGCTTGCAAACAATATAGCAATCTTCATCCCAACACCATCACAGTTGGTTTTGTACTGAAGCGCTTAGCAGTGTTTCACCGGATCATATAAAGGTTGATCAGAATCTGACTTCACATTGTTAGACTCGCTATCATTCTCAGCTGTTTAAATCCCCGTGGAGACCTTAGATTGTGCCCCTCCTGCTGAATTTCATCCCAGAATCGCTGTGAAACTGCTCTGAGGTGAGACCAATTGTTCTTCGGTTTAAAGAACAAAAGGTGTCACCTTTAAATACAACTGCTTCTAATATGTGGCAACAACTTTTGAGCTCCTATTAACGCCTCGGCCCTGTGTATTAGGCAATGCAAATATAGCAGCATTAAAAAGCAATCACTGATATCAGAAGGAAATTAAACTAAAATGAGATTATTTTGTTAGTATTACTGCATGGACAAAAAGCAATAACACTGTGCCGTTCGTCTATTGTTCTGTAATCTCTTTGTAGATATGGAAAATCTTTTGACGGACAACGTCATGTGAGATCAAGGTCATYACTTGACATCAGCTCATAGCCACCGTCTACCTCACTCCCTCGTTCACGACCTCCTGACGTCTGTTCCTCTGTGCCTCCTTTGTGCCGTCTCACATGCTGAACATACGGTAAGCTTTACATGTGTGTTAAACATTGATATTTTTGTGCATAGGTTCATGTTTAAGTTTGTTTTATTCCTTTAGAAAATATTGGACATTTTTAACAAAAACTTTATTTTATTTATTTATTTGTTTATTTATTTATTTATTTATTTATTGCAAAAAAAGACATGGTTACATCCTGGTCTAAACTGTAATGATTTTGTGTTTTGGGACATTAAACTGTACAACAAGGAATTAGGATTTAATAAGTTTTAGCAATGTCCAATATCTTAACAACATGAGAATACTACAGTATGCCTATAAACAGTAAATGTCCCACAGTATATGGTGAGGAATATAGGCAAAGTTAGATGAGTTATGCTTAAATGTTATGCTGTTAATGAGGGCGAAATCTTTTTCCTTTTCTTACTACAAATAGTTTATTTAAATTTTATTTTTGGACAAAGAATTAATCTATTGCACCAGTTATTCTAAAAAATGTAAGGTCTGAAAACTTTACTATTATTTCATGTTGTGAAACAAAACTTGTTATGAAACTGAACTTCTTGTTGAATGTTTATAGTTAATGAAGCCTGCATGTAAATTACCCAACACACAACTAGATAATTATCTGTTGCCTAAAAAACACAATTTTCACAAATATTATTATTTAACTTCAACAAAATTCTGTACTTGTTTGGCTATTAGAGGCTTTACAAAAGTTTAATGAAACAGTTTTTCCTACTTCATGTTTTCAATGAATTGTAACTAATTTAAAGTGAATATTGTGTCGTTATAATGAATAAAATATATTTGTGACAAATTAAATAGAGTTTTTTTTTTGCTTCAGAAACTTTCTTTGTTTCATAGAGGAAAATTTATTTATAAATCTAATTGTAAATGATCACCAGAATAATAGTTATTCTAACATATTTATATTTATGTACATAACTTAAACTGCACTAAACAAGATGAAATAAACATTTTCTGTTGCAGTGTTTCCTCCTTTTTTTTTTACTTTTGACTGTTACTGGTTGAAATATATATAATAATCCTAATAAATTAATTAAAAAATGACAACTCAAACTACTTTATGACAAGTGTTTTTATATCTCTTTTAACAACTTTGTTTTTTAAAAACAATTACTGTTAGCGACATTTTTATGTTTTAGTTCTTTGTAGTTGTCTCAAAATCACTCACTTGGTTTTTCCCACAACTGTGGGATCCACTGTTTCAGTCTGTTGATGGCAAATTACAATCTATTTACTGTAAAATAAGCCTTACTGGTATTCAAATATTCTTTTTTTTTTAAAACAAGGAGCATATATAATGTTTTTTTTCTTAAATCAGGCAGCGTAAGACATTCTAACAAAAGACAGATGGAAGAAATTTAGAAACAAACATTTTATATTCTAACTATTGCAGAGCTCAGAAGAGTGTGTTTCAACGTGGGGGGCCACCAGGGGGCCTCWGAGAGCTGGAAAGAAAATAATCAAAAAATAAATTAAAAAAATTATCTAATAAATGTTTAAAATCATTATCATAGACTCAAATCTGTTTTTATTTTACAGAATAGTTTGGAATAATATATTTAATTTTTATTCAAGAGAAGTTTGATTTCTGTTTGGTTTTTATCGTCAACAATTTGTATAAAAGTTGTTTTTTCAGTGAGAATGTAATACAGTGTTTAAAACATGTTACATAATAAAATTATTATGCTAATCAAATGTAATAATTATTGAACAGTGAATAAAAGTGAGAAAAATAATCTTAAAATGATGTTTGTTTTGCATATTCTTTAGCATTGTTTGTAGATTTGGAAAGGGCGTCCCTGGCCAGAAACTAATGTCGTTTGGGGTGTCTTGGCACAGAAAAGTTTGGGAACCCCTGTTTTAGACCATCTAAACAATAAACAAATGACATTAATCACAATGTGGAGTGTGGTTTTTTTTTTCCTAAGGTTATTGAATCTTCCACATTATTTTCAATCCCAGTTGATGATTGTCAGCACAAGGTGGCAGAGCTGACCCACAAGTAAAACTTATTTTATGTCTTAAATTCTCTGTGGACAATGGAAAGTACTGACTTAAGGTCCTGTCACAATATAATGTAATAGACAACTTGGGCCAAATAATAAAAATTAATTGTCCAACATTAAAGAAGTCTATGCTGAAGATTAAATTTTTAAAAATTTGCTGGAAGCTACTTTACTTTACTATTGGATCAAATATAAAACATACATAAGTAATTTAGTCACAAAATGTTTACAAGTTGTCATACGTTGATAGTGTCCAGGGACTGCAGGTGGAAATTAGCATTTTTTGCTATAAGCTGGTACCATGCATCTCTCCTTTTAAAAGATTAATTAATTGTTGTACATTTATAAACAGTAAACAGTGTTACAGAGCCTTTAACAGTATAAATTAGGTCGTAGATCGCTTYTCTTCAAAACGCAAAAGCCACAAAAAACTTATTTAACAATTATTTGAATGAAATACTTTATTTCTTTACAGCATCAGTGTTCCTTCATCATGTGTTGAATGTGATGTGAAATATTGTAGCTACTGTAACCAAAATGACTGAAAACACTTTGTCAGTTTTAATGCATTTTGCTTTATTCTACACTTTTCAGACTAAAAGAACTAAAACACAGAAGATTCCAAAGGTCTGAGGTGGCCGTCAGAGAGATTCACTCCTCATCTAGCCCTCTCTGTGATGAAGAGTGACAAAAAAGAGAAGAATTAGTTGAAAAGGACCCAACAAAACACAACAGGTTTTACACAAGGTCAAGAAACTGTCAACAGTAGAGCAAACGCTTTGTTACATTGCAATCTGGATTTTTTTAAACGGTGACTGTAGAAATAAAATGAAAAACTAGGGGAGAAAAGTACATTTAGATGAGTGGGGGGGGGGGGGGWAATTATCTGCAGCATTCAGTAGTCTTTTTTTTTTTCAATGAAATCCTATCTTAACAAAACTGCAGGTACGTATAATGCTCCACTCCATGAAAGTTATGTTTTTAGAAATAGTTTTCCACAAACAAATCAAATAACTTTTTCAATTTCTAAACTTCCTTTTTTTGTCTGATTTTTAACTCTAACTTACTAATAAATTCACATACGGTCAAGAAAGCCCCAATTCTTATCCTAAAACGTCACATTTTATTCCTCACTGTTAAAGATTAACTCCATTTTGGGAAAACAAAAACTAACAATAACAAACTAATAAAACTCATCTAATCCAGATAGAAAAAATAAAACTGATTTGTACAAAGTCTGGTCTGATTTATTTACTTTTACATTCAATAAAAATCTAATTTTGTATTGTTTTTTATCCAAAAAATTTTAATATTTTATCATAAACAGATAATAAAGATGGTTAAAATATTTTTTTCTTTAAAATATCAGGAGTGCAGCAGAGTATTTGGGCCAGAAAATGAGATTTTAAAAAGTTGCAATATTTTAAGAATAAAAGTCATAATTTTGCGAGAATAAAATTGTAATATTATGAGAACTCTTGCCAAATAAAACAGTCTTCCCATTGCGTTAAAATTAGAACTGTTGAGCATCTTCTGAATTTGTTGTGTATCTGTTATTTAACTCTGGATTCATATGATAAACTGAAGCTGTTGCAGTTATTGATGGATTTAGTCGTCACATAATGTGAATGGAAGCATTTAAATTAACAGTGATCCAAAAGTAATCAGACTTCATAAACACAGTGACACACACAGAAGCTGATCACAACAGGTGCAAGTTGACCCCGTAAGAGAAAATGGACATGTCATGTGTTATTCTGACATTTTCTTGTAATATTATGATTTTTGTTTTTAATTTATGATTTCCTGTAATTTAAAAAAAACTTGTAGTCAGGCCCTAATACATTGTTGTAGTGAATATATCGAGTGTTGTGTGGAGTATTAGAGAAGACTCTGACCTTTGACCCCACATCGCGGCTCTTGGCGCGCAGCTTGTTGACCTGAGACTCGGCGATGTCGGCTCTCTCTTCAGCCTCGTCCAGCTCGTGCTGCAGTTTGCGGAACTTGCCCAGATGAGTGTTGGCCTGTTCTTCCTGCAAGGTTAAAGATAAATCAAAATCAAAATTTTCAACAAAAGGTTTTGCGTTCACATGATTTTCTGAAGAGTCAACCAAGCAGTGATCATGTAGGGAAAAGGTAAGGTCACATCAAAGCAGCTGAAGAAGTAGGAGGTCTCAGTAAAGGTTGTTTTGTGGACATGGTAACAATATTTAGGTCCTAAATCCAGCCACACTCACAGCTTCCTCAGCAGCTCTCTTGTACGCTTTGACTTTCAGCTGCAGTTTGTCGACCAGGTCTTGCAGACGAGCGACATTCTTGCGGTCCTCCTCAGTCTGTAAGAGAAGAAAAGAAAAAAAATCAATTAAAATAGTTTTAGTTGTGTGTACAGCTCATTTGCCTTTTTATTTTTACATTTTTGTTGTTTAAAGAAATATTTTTTTATATTTAAAGTTTACCTGATATGTGAGCTCCTTAATGCGCCTCTCATATTTGCGCATTCCCTTCACTGCCTCGCTGCTCTTCTTCTGCTCCGATTCAACCTCATTCTCAAGCTCCTTCACCTGAAAACATCAGAACATCGTTCATTTTTCAACTGCTTGATTTTACAGAGCTGAACAAGAAGTTGCAATTAAAAGCAAATGTTTACTTTTACTGAGATAAAAATAACTTATTGTTCAAACAAGCTCAAAAACAGTAATGACTTCCTGGTGAAGAAAGTGTTTTATCAGCTAATAAAGGCAGATGTAGCATGATGTGAAAACCACTCACCCTGGCCTCGAGCTTCTGCACCTGCTTCTTGCCTCCCTTCATGGCGATCTGTTCAGCTTCATCCAGACGATGCTGCAGGTCTTTGATGGTTTGCTCCATGTTCTTCTTCATGCGCTCCAGGTGAGCGCTGGTGTCCTGCTCTTTCTTCAGCTCCTCTGCCATCATGGCAGCATCAGTGATGGCCTTCTTGGCCTTCTCTTCAGCATTTCTGCACTCCTGCACTGCCTCCTCCACCTCAGTCTGAAGTTGGACTGTGTCCCCCTCCAGCTTCTTCTTCTGGTTTATCAGGCTGGTGTTCTGTGTGTTTTTAAGGTTAAAGGGAGATGACGTGTGAATCTCTTCATATGTGAAGCGTTGTTGCTGCTGTTGGGACRTCGTCTCACCTGTGAGTGCAGCAGCTGAACCCTCTCACTAACATCCAGCAGCTCTTGCTCAGCAAGTTTGCGGCTTCTGTCAGTTTGTTCCAGAGCAGCCCTCAGCTCCTCCAGTTCAGCCTGAAGCAGGTTGTTGCGTCTCTCAACGATGGCGATGTTCTCTTTGAGATCATCATTAGCCCGAACCGACTCGTCCAGCTGAATTTGGCAATCCTTTATGGAAGAACACAAACGACAATGATACTTATGAACATTTTGACTCTGAAAAACTCAGAAACTGAATGTTTCCTGTTTGTAGTTTACCTTTAGATGTGCATGAACAGCTTTGAGTTGTTTCTGAGCCTCAGCTGCCTGCCTGTTGGCTTGGCTCAGCTGGATCTCCATCTCGTTCAGGTCTCCCTCCATCTTCTTTTTCAAGCGGAGGGCTTCATTCCTGCTGCGACACTCGGCCTCAAGAGAGCTCTGCAGGGTGTCGATGGTCCTCTGCATGTTCCTCTTGCACTGCTCCATCTCTTCGTCCTTCTCAGCGAGTTTGCGTTCTATGTCCGCTTTCACTTGATTGAATTCTAGCTGCGCTCGTAAAATCTTGCCCTCTTCATGTTCCAGGGAGGCCTGGCATAAAGACGTACACAGATGTTTGCAATATACGACGAAAGAAATTAAATGTCTTTTTGTTGTTGTTGTCGTCGGGAAAGGTGCATACCTCAGCTTCTTCGAGAGCAGACTGGATCTCATTCTTCTCTTGTTCCAGTTGTTTTCGTAACTTTTCCAGTTCATGGATATTCTTTCCACTCTCACCAAGTTGCTCGGTGAGGTCAGAAATCTCCTCTTTGGGATAGCAAGCAAAGTGAATAAATGAATATACATAATTAATGATTATATGAATTGATTACCGGTAATCAAAGTTTTTTACAGAAAACCTTTCCAGCTCTTGTCTGTTCTTACCTTGTAAGTTCTTATTCTCTCGCTTCATAGTCTCCAAATGGTCCAGGGACTCTTCGTAGGAGTTTTTCAGTTTAAAGAGCTCAGTGCTCAGGGCCCTGGCTTCCTTCTGGGAGCTCTCCARSTCACACTGAGACTCTTCATATTTCTGCTTCCATTCAGACAGGACCTGCAGGGGAACAACAGGACAGCATTGGTTGTGGATGGGCTGGATGCTGATTTAATACAAAGTAGCTCTAAGATGATGTAAATATGGAATATTATCCATCTATAAAGTAAATTTCTTGGTAGCTCTTCAAATCTGATGTTTCTGAATTTTAAATAGATGGTCAGTACTTAATATTTCATTTCACCTTGTCAAAGTTTCTTTGCTTCTTGTCCAGAGCAGCAGCAGCAGCATTAGACCTCTCCACGTCCACCATGAGATCTTCAATCTCATTCTGCAGTCTGTGTTTGGTCTTCTCCAGAGAGGAACATTTAGCATTCACTGCTTCAACAGCCTCCTCAGCCTCCTGCAGACGCTGAGCCAGCTTTTTCCTAAAAACAAGCCATCAGTGAAATGTTTTAACGCTCCTGCAATTTGAAAGCGAAACCGTGATAAAATTCGACAACTGTTACTGGCTGCCAGGTCATCCAACAAACAAACTTTTTGTTCGTCTTACATTTTAGAAGGAACATAACACAAACAAAAAGCTGATCTGCTAGACGAAGTGAAATGTCATTTTAAGAGTAAAGATCCTAAACTGAAGCTCAGCTTGTCTTACTTTGCTTCTTCCAGTTCCTCGGTCCTCTGGATGGCATCAGTTTCATACTTGGTTCTCCACTGAGCCACCTCAGTGTTGGCCTTGGACATGCCACGCTGCAGTTCAGCCTTGGCCTCCTGCTCCTCCTCRTACTGCTCCCTGAGGAGGTCACAGTCATGACGAGCAGACTGCACAGCGTGRGCTAATGCATTCTTGGCCTGGATAGAAAAACAATACAAAATGAGCTCATAAAAAATGTTTGTGTGGCGCTGTCGGTTGGCTTTGTCAGACGTTTAACCTTCGTCTCCTCCTCCAGTTGTCTCTTCAGATCTTCAATTTGTTGCGTGTAAGACATTTTCCCTCTTGTCAGTTGAGACACGAGTGAATCCTTCTCCTCCAGCTGCCTTGAGAACTCACCTAGTGTTAGTGTAAATAAGTAGTAGTGATTTTCATTTCATAAACTGTAACTCCTAAACTTCAGTTGCTTTGATTAAATGTACCGTATATGTTCTTGTAGCATTAAAAATTAGACTTTTAAGTTTTCACTTTTTAAATGYAGTGACATGAAGAATTTCAAATGCAAATATAATGTAATCTTTCAAACATTATACCATTTTCTGTTTGGAGTTTGGCCTTTTGCAGGTTGAAGTCATTGATGCAGCGTTGAGCCTCTTCAAACTTTGTCTTGTATTCATTCATTTGGTCTTCTAAGGTCCTGCATGTTTTCTCGAGATTAATCTGAAATTAAATAAATCATATCAGAACCATGCACACACAGCATGTTTATGTGTGTAAAAATGTATTCAGTCATTAATTTTTAATAAATATAAATGATATTGACCCTTAGATTAAGTCACAAAGTGGCACGTGGAGAAATAGGCAGTTAAAGTGCAATGGTTAAAACGATTGCATTTTGTCAAAAATAAAATTATTAAATACTTATCTATGGTCATTTAAATGAAAGATCTAAAATATAATTAAAAAATAAATTTGAAGCTCCTTTCTGTTACTAAAAACATGATTTTGAGCTGAGAAGTCTTAAATGTTTTATATTTTCCAGATGGTAAATCTCAATATCCAGATATGATCTGGACAACAAATGAAGCCATATCTCTGGAATGTCCTGATGCATCTCAGTAATCCAGGTAAAAAATCAAAGGAAAAAAATTTGTATAGGTCTTCTGGACGG